CCGGGGATTTGACATTATGTAATAGTGTGGTGTGGTTAAGATATGTCTGTAAAGCTGTTGTCTTCATATCCAATGCTGGAGCTTGAATTCCAATGACAGATTGTCAGGAAACGAAGACGGATATAAAGTGGGGAAGAACCAGAGCAGGCTGGAACCCCAGACACAGTGGGGGCTCACAAGGACAGACTGAAACTTGCATCAATTCTGAATGCCTCTAACCTTGGTTGTATAACATTCCTCAGAGGCAGAGCCCTTAATTATAGAGCTCAGTACAGGTGTGTACCTGGCTCAGGAGTTGGAGAAGCTTCAGGCGGATCCATCCAGGGGAAGGTGGAACAGTTGCAGGCCCAGCTGCTGTCTCATGCAAGAGGTGATCCAGCAGCGAAGAGACACATATAAGCTAGCAAATGACTGCTGCTTTACTCTCCTCTCCACATTTTGCCTGAGAATCTCTCCTGTGACCCACCCTAACCAGAAACACACAGAAAACGGAATTCTGGGAAACAGAGTTCAGTCTAGTTGGGTTCACTCTTTACAAAGCCATGCCTTGACAACTTGGCCTCCTACTCATCTTAAATCAAACTTAATTTCCAATTAAAGATAATAACAAAATCATGCCTGCCTCTAACATGATAACGTCTGTCCCAAGGACAACCAAAACACACTTTTCCCTAAGAGAGAATCCAGCATTCTTTTTTTTTTTATTTTGGGTGATATCCATTTTTCTTTTAACAGATTCACGCCAGATTCTCACTTCTCTTTTGATATCATACAACTTATATATTGAGATATTAAGTTAAATAGTATTAACACATTTTCTGTTAGATGATGAGGGAATGAGACAGAAGACAAATACAAAATAATTTGTTAAAGAAATACATATACATATATTGACATGTATGTTTGCATATAGTCATATAAAAATAAAGAAGAAATACTCATAACTAGTACAGTACTTGTATCTGTCACTGGTCACGTGGCCATAGCTGGTATTTAGAATTATATTCTTCCACTACTTATTTCATGTTCCCTTTGTTCTCAGTACTTTAATTGGTCATGGGTTCTTGACTGGTGGTATAAACCAAATCTTTGTTCCTGAATGTTCTAGGCCATTAGCCGTCTTGCTAAGTTGAACTGATGTAGTTTTCTATTCACTTTAGTCACAGGATATGGTAGTACTAAGAGGAAACCTAGAACTTTAACTTTCGAGCCATGCTCCTCCTGATTCTCTGTGTAGAAGCAGCCTAGATTCGATCACTGCCTTCTTTGCTTGTTGATTCAATGGCATGAGTCAAAGTGGTCAGGTGGCACTCCAGATCAACTGAGTCATCATATGTCCCCTGGCAGAAGTACTCCTCCTTTTGGAACTAAGACCTCTTTGCCACCCGAGCCTGATGTCACAGGGACGGGAAGCAATAGTTTGTTAGTGAATTGCTAGGGATAATAGTGAGAGGATCCTGTCCTATTTCCACCCCTTGATCCCCATATGCATGAGTTCTGGCTAAGGAAGAAACAGAAATACATGTTGGATGCTGATCTAGAGCATACTTTGAATCCTAAAGGACCACACATGAGTCTCAAAAGGACATTCCACCATTCCATCAAGCCAGTTGCTTCAGGGTGACAGGGTAAGATCAGTGGGTTGCATGAGTCCATTGCTGTACCTCATTTACTGTGACACAAATTCCTTGATCAAAAGTGATGCTGTGTGAAATACCATGATAGTGAATAAATTATTCAGTACATGGTTTTTGTAGTGGTTTTAGCAGGAGCATGTGGGCAGGGAAGTCAAATGCATATCCACAACAAGTGTCTATTCCAGTAAGAGCCAAATACTGCCACTTCCATGAGGGAAGTGATCTAATATAATCAGCCTAGTAGCTGGGAATGGTGCCATGTCAGGGGCTCACTGTCAATCTCTGCTGTTAACAGACTAGGCACTCAGTGGTGGCTATAGCTAGATAGGCCTTGGTAAGTAGAACTTCATGTTGATGAACCCATGCATAACTGCCATTTTCTGCCACCTTTGCCTTTTTTTTTTTTTTTCATTTTCTAGTTGGGTAATGACAGGAGTTGGTTGGGAAGAAAGGTGACGAATGTCCACAGAATGGCTCATTCTATTCACCTGATTAATAAAATCCTCCTCTGTTGAGCTTACCCTTTGGTGAACATTCACCTGGAACACAGATATTTTTACATGCTATGCCCATTTGAAGAGGTCCATCAACCTACCTTTTCACCAGATTTCCTTGTCACCAATTTCTCAATTATGTTCCTTCCAAATCTCTGACCATACAACCAAATAGCCCATGAATTAGTGTCGACTTGTACTTCTGGACATTTATTCTTTGAAGCAAAATGAATGACCAGGAACATTACTTGAAGCTCTGCAAACTAGGCCCAAGATTGTTATCCCTTTATTGGCTTGTCATAAGGAGCTCTCCAAGGGTCATAGGTGTAAGTTGAGAGAAAGAAGGCAATGTAATAGGAGTAAGGGCCATAGATATGTAGGCCACTTGCTCATGCAACATATTTGTGCTTTCAGGCCCTGCTGAGGCCCAATTTTCTATCTACCACTTCCATTTGGTCAGAGAGTCCTGCTGTGCATACTCAACTTTATGGCCTGGTGACTCAGACGACACTAGTAATGGGCAACTCAGGTCATAAGGTAATTTGGTAGCCCATGGTCAAACATTCAGTCTCTACAAGGCCCAGTAATAACATAAAAGCTATTTCATAAAAGAAGAATCATTACCTATAAAGAATGGCAGCGCTTTCTTCCAAAATCCTAAGGGTCTGGTCTGTGCTTTACCTATGGGAGCCTGGCAAAGGCTTTAAACAGCCTTTCTTTCTGTTACTGACATTTCTAGCACCATTGGCTCTTCTGGATCATGTGGTCTAAGTGGCAGAGCTGCTTCCAGAGCAGTCTGGACTTACGGAGCCTTCTCTTGTTCTGGTCTCTACTTGTGGGGTGCCTCACCATGCCTCAGACTCGATATTTGTGGGGTTTATTTTCCACTCGTGGTGTGCAAATGTCTTACCACTTTATCTAGAGCAGTTTGTACTTTTTAATTACCAGAGAAGGAATCAGAAAAGCTGAAGGAGGATCCATGGGAAGATGAAACAGCTGCAAGCCTGGCCACTGCCCACACCAAGGAAGTAAGCCAGCAGATAAGCCACAGTGTTTGGGGGGCGGCCGAAATGTGGCTGCTGCTTCCCCTCTACCCTCCTGCCTCCCACAAGAACCTCTCCCTGTAGCTCACCTTACCCAGAAAGATATAAGAACATGAATTCTGGGTAATGTAGTTCATCCTAGCCAAGTTGACATATTACACACTACATACTCAACTTATGATCTACTACTATAGGATGGAGAATCCAGTTTAAAAAAAAAAAAAAAAAAAAAAAAAGCAGATGGCCTATCTTGGCATGATCTTGTTTCCTGAAGAATTCATCTGACAAGATTTTTTCCTACCTACATGGCTTTGATTCCATAGAATTTGTGTGTATGTTCTAGCTCTGGGGAGATGATCAAAAGGGAGCTGTTTCCAGAAACATATTATTTTTTAATAAATAAATTCTTAACAGTGTGAAAATATATTCACAGTTTGAGTGTATTATTTATCAATTGCTTTTCCAGAGAGACTAAAATTTGCTTAGGTTTGAGGGTTTTTTAAAAATATTTAATCTTCAAAGTATTAGCATTTACTTTTAAGTTAAAAAGTATGCTGTGGGCAAACAGCAATGTGATATGCTTTCGCATTGTAGCAAAAAGAACATCTCAACATTTGCTCTTCAGGCTTCTTGGAATGCAGTTCACTGTGGTGCTGTAGGTGACCATAGTGTTTCCAGAATTGATTGTCCGGGAAGAGCAGGATATCCCAATGTGCTTACTTGTTCCACTGAGAAAGCACTAATTTTCCTTTGTTTCTTTGTTTTGTTTCTATAAACCATCTAAGAGAAGGCTGATGTCAACTTTTGTCTCAAAATACGTGAATCTATGAGTTTCTCTCAGAAAATGGTAAGATCATTGCTCTGTGCAAGAAAGGAGGGTGTATGTAAGGAGTATGTGACAAGCTTTGCAGTGACTTGAAGGACAGATTTCACAGGAGAGAGCAGTTAAGAAAGAGACACTAAAGTGACACTAAAGGGAAGGTGATTTTCAGATCCACCCTTCCTTATCTCCAACCAGTGCATGATTTCCTGATGAAGCCATTTGTCCACCCGACAGTGCTGTTGTTTCTAAAAATTCCTACCACAGAATAACAACTGTCAACACCTGCCTCAGACATAGGAGTAGGGAAGACTGCAAGTGGGAGAGAGACTTAAACACACCAACCTTTTTAGGAACAAAAATCACTCATATCAGCTGATCTGCGGAATTAAAGGAGTTTTTAAAGTATGTGGTATTCTTTGACGTAGTATTGGCAGAATAATCATTTAACAAATGTCACTGGTGGATGAATTAAGAAAAAAAGGTGTCACGTTGGCTCTTCATACAGACATTTGGCAAATAATTGGCACTAAAGGGATTCTGATTTCTTCCCCTGCCATTTTGATCTTTCAAGTTTTAAAATAGCAAATGACATTGGTCTTTAGGGTTGGTGCGTGTTAGAATCACAATGGACAGAGACCCTGAAAAACTCTACAAAAGAGGGAGGAACAGAACTGAATGGAAAAAACGTTATGGAAATTTTCCACCCATGGATGGGACACACCCTCATGCAAACAAAGCTTTGGGGCGAAGACTATATTTTATAAAAATGTGATAAAACACTTGCTAAGCCCTGAGGGGATGAACAATGGTTCTTTTTCTTTTTATTATTTTTTATCCTCCAAAATTCAGTGTCACATGCTGAGCAGTTGAAGGGAAAGGCCTTTTGTCATATCTGTTTCCAAACATCTATTTCCTTTCTGGAGCCCCAGAAGTTTGAGTTGCTGTCACAGTGAGGGACTCTCTTGTGTCAACCACTCTGATTCTGTGTCCTTGTCCTAACTAGGTTGTCTGCCAATGCTAACTGGCCAGCTCTGAGAGGAGGTGCTTGGCCCAGGAGGAGTCATCAGGGCAGTTCTCTGGGCTACTGCTGTGTCTCCAGCTCTGCAGTTTGCTCTGCATCACTCAGCGGCAGACGGAGAGGCAGCTGCAAGCCCCTTGTGAGATTTCTTCCTTGCCGTCATCTCACGATGCTCTGTAATAAGGAGGCAAACGGCTGAGGTCCCCTCAGTTGTATCTTGCTTCCCTCCCCAGTGCCTCTTCAAACCACTTTGTCAAAAACAACAACAACGAAACAAAAACAAAAACAAAAAGATTCTTGTGTTCATGATACTAAAACAAAATTGCTTAAGCTCTGTTGCTTAAGATTAAGCACTCAAAAAATGTCGAAGGTGGTCTTAAAAATCTGGCTGTGGGTAATGGGATCAGCTGCATTTTTCTTTAAAATGATGTGACCCATCTCCTCCATTTTACTTTTGCATTTGACTTTCCAACTTCCATGCGAAGGAACAGCATGTGGTTTACTTGTGGTCATATTATATGTTACTTTGGTGCTTTACAACTTTCAAAGAGCTTTTATGCAAAAGTGATATCATCAGATCCTCAGATAACCCTGTGATGTGGGTAGGTTGATGGATACACTATCATCATTTCCCATATGAGGAAAGAAGAGTAAATAAGTTACACAACATGGACGAGGTCACCCTGCACTTCAGAGGTGGAACCAAATTCCAACAGAAGCATTGAATTTCTAAACGAGTTTTTGTTTGTTTTTTATCTTTTCCATCACACCAAGCCACCTCTGTGAAGGAAAATTGCATGCATCTCCCTAACCCAACATTTTTCATGTTAAATGTCCACTAAATTATAGTCACAATTTGGTAGTCTCAGCAGTTCTTCTGGTTTGAAGACAACTTTTTCCAAATTTCCGTATTTTTTCTACAACTTTATCATTTTCTTCTCTACCCAGAATTCCATACTTAACATTCGCAACAACACCCTCTTTTATCTTTCTTCTTTCTTCCCTCTCTTTTTTTTTTTCTCCCTTTGTCTGTCCTCTTTTTCTGTCTGCCTTTCTCTGTCTCCTTTTTGTGTGTTTATTTTTTGTTTTGGTTTTAGAGACAGGGTCTTGCTATGCTGCCTGGGCTGGTCTCAAACTCCTGGACTCAAGCAATCCTTCTGCCTCAGCCTCCCAAAGTGCTGGAATTATAGGCATGAGCCGTCATGTCCAGCCTGGTTTTGTTTATTGATTGCATACTGAAAGTAACACATGACTGGAATATAAGAGAACTAAGTTTGAGATATTATAATTTCACATAACCTGTATACGTCTCTGTTGTTTTATCTGTAAAATTGCTTTTCATAAAATAATGATGTTCTACACAAGTGAAGAATAGAGAAGGGAAAATGGGATTTTTGTGCTAATCAAAAATAACATGTGGTTAAAAAAATTGAGGGCTACCTAATTTGTAGATTTTCTCATTTTAAGTAAGAGATGATAGGATCAAATCCAGGTCCTCTGTCTACAAGTCAAATATTTAGTGAGTTGCTGGGTGCAGTGACTTGCATCTGGAGAGGCTGAGGCAGGAGGATCACTTAAGTCCAGGAGTTTGAGGCTACAGTGAGCTACGACTGCTCCACTGCCCTCCAGCCTGGGTGACAG